TAAAAATAGCACTCAGTATAACAGATGTTGTTTAGGCATTCGTAGGACGTACCTTGGCCACCTCAGCCGATGCAGTGAAGTGGTTTTTTAATTACACACCAGTGTGTGATGAACAGCAGTCGGGGCGGACCCCATAGTCACGAAAACCTGCTATCCAGAGATGGTAACCGGTAACCTAAGCCCCGGGACTTTGAGTGGCGAACCATATAAGGCCCCGATAGGTCAGGCCTGGCATTGAATTGGATGACAGTTAAGCGGTGGGTGGCGGTGGTGGGGTTCGGACCACGGGTCCAAAGCACACCGGTGACAGCCACTAGACCACTGCGCCACCACCACAGTGGAAGAGTATCTGACCGTAACACATGTCTTCCGATCTCATCGTTACTCGGGCGATGCTCCCACCATACGCGGGTGATGTTGCTCAGACAAAGGTTATCGAAGACCGATTAGTTATGGAACAATATCTGCTCGGGAAAGCCCAGTTTCTCAGCCGTAGAGCAACTCGGCGAATACTCACATCCTTTCAGTGAAAGGGCTACTTCACACCGGCGCCGGAGATACCGCAGATTAGCAAACGCCAATTTAGTTTCGGTCATGAGTTGAGAGGTCTTCTTTTTCATCCTCCGTCAACCGTTATGCAACTCCCCAGGTAGACAACACTTTCGACTACTTCCAAAATTTGGTTATCCAACAAAAGTGCAGGAACGGGTAACTGCTGATATTGCAGCCACACCTTGCATTTCAAAGATGCAAAGGACAAACCATAGCGAGCATCCTCAATTGCCAAACTATTTAGCGTGTTTTAAATCGCCGGTGCATTATCACCAAGTAAGGCAATATCATCGGCATACTCTAAGTCTACGACTCTATGTCCAGGAAGAAGCTCGAAAACAGCGTTAGTTACGTTGAGTAACACTTTTTGCAGAACCTCATCTATGACAAAGTTGAAGAGAAAGGGAGAGATTTGACCATCTTGTCGTACCCCACTTGTGACAGGAAATGCGGGTGAGAGTTCACCACAGGCACAGGGGGGGTGGTGGTGCAGTGGTTTGGTCACTGTCACCGGCGTGCTTTGGACCCTATAGTCTGAGTTTAGAGCCCCGCCACCGCCACGCCACCGTAGTAATAGGCAGCTTAACTGTCGTCCGGTTTAATACCAGGCCTTACCTAGGGGGGCCTTATATGGTTCGCCACTCAAACTCACGGGGCTTAGGTTACCGGTTTCAACGACGGAGCAGCAGGTCTTCGTGACTGTAAAGTTCACCCCGTCTGCTGTTCACCATACAAATGTGGGTAATAAAAAACTAACCTTCCCCGAGATCTGACAGCAGAGTGCTTTTAGAAGTAGGACTTACTTCTAGGGTACTTCGTATCTCCGCAAACGGTTTCATAGCGCAGGGCGATCAATGGAGTCGAAGGCAGCTCTGATGTCCAAAAATAAGACTATAGTTTGTCGTCTATATGTGTGACAGTGTTCTAGCAGTTGACTTGATCTATGCAACTATGGCGTGCACGAAACCCGACCTGCTTTTCACGGACATTTCTTTCGCGAAATGGACTGTCTGCGTAATGAAACGGGAGCTAACAGCCTTGGCACTATAGGAATCAAACTTACATCCCTTAGGCTGGAAGAGGCGTTGCGATAGCCTTTCTTGTAGATGGATGTACCAATCGGATATCCCCATTTATGGGGTACAGTTTCGTTCTCCCAAATCTTCGAAAGCAGTTTGGCACGCTCTCTCACAAGAGCTTCTCCACCATTTTCAAGAAGGGCTGATAGCCGGCGGTCTGATCGGTGAGAGGGTAGTTAGCCTTGCGCCTACTCTGGACCGGGTGAGCTAGTAGTGCAACAGCCCACAACGCCAATGATGAACTCTTCGACTTCTTCGCGCATTCAGTTTACTGTTTCTGCAACTAAAGGCAAACACTCTACACCGTACACACACTGGTGTCCTCCCAGCCGTCCCTCATCACACATCCGCCCCCGTCACCCACCCCTTTTCTCGAGATCCTCAGACGATCGTGCAAACACTAGTGCCTCAGATGGAAACTCTGCCGCTGTTCCCTCATGTCCTACCTCGACCACTGTCCAAGTTTCACCGATTCCTCCACCAGCTGAAGCCCTTCGCCCTCGATGTCCTTTCAAACTAGCCACATTTATTGTGCGCACTCTGATGCATATAGGACAACAGGCCGGTTTAGCTCGTACGCTCGAGACCCTAACCATCGATGTGTGTTGTATCCAAGAGACTCGCATTCAAGACTCCAGCTTCATTATCCGATTGAAGTCCCCATCAAACCCATCAGTGAAGTTTCACTTACGCCTCTCTGGGGACCCTGAGGCTGCGGCTTCCGGTCTTGCTGGCGTTGGTGTGGCTCTCAGTGAGAGAGCTGAAGC